TCACCGGATGATGTTACATTCTCGACGGAAGTATTACGAACAACCGCTGAATCACTTTTTCGTGAACGACAAGAATCAATGAAACGTTTACCACCAAAAGAGATGGATAACACTGATAATAATGCTAATGCTAATGGAAATAATAATAAGGATAATTTAGCATACTCAACTAATTCAGTAGATAGGTATCAATTTACATTTTCATTTATTTCAAAATTTTGAGCTAATTTAACACATACAATTTTTGTGTTTATCTCTTCATCTTGTTAATAAATGATAATAAGAATGTGTGAAAATTAGAATTTTTTTTTGAATTTTCTGAAAATTTTAAATTTCTGATTCAAAAAAATTTAATTTTTGATTTTTTTTAATTTAGCTCAATTTCATCTGATCTATCGATACCATCATGGGCTGATCCATTGCAAATGTTTTATACGGGTGAAGATCCGTTATGTGATTTCATATTGGAAGGCTTAGGACTTAGTAATGCGGAATTACCGCTTATCGTTATTTTGGATGCAACAGTTAGCCGGATGTGCATTTGTGAGAAACCGGATGTGAGTGCTGAAATTGTTGCGGAATTTGTGGCTGATTATAAGAATGGAAAACTGAACATGGCACCATTACCAAGAACATGTCAAGTAAAATTTTAAATTTTTCTTTTTAACTAGAAATGTTTTTTTTTTTTTAACTATACCTATTTTTTGTTTTCAAAATTTCATTGATCTGATTATCTTTTTAAATAACACTTTCTCTCTGGAATCGCTTGAGAGTAAGTGATTGCGGAAGGAAGGCTCGAGATTGAGCGCGATTCCGAAGGGAGAGCTTGAGATTAATTGGTTCCGGAAGGAAAGCCTAAGATTAAGCGATTCCGGGAGGAAAACTTAAGAATAAGCGGTCGCGAAAGGAAGGTTTGAGATTAAGCTGCTTCGGAAGAAAAGCTTGAGATTAAGCGCTTCCGGAAAGAGATTGAAATTAAGCGGTTCTAAAAGAAAAGTGTTGTTTAAAGAAAAAAAAAACCGGAAATTATAACTTTTATTGTTAGTTCAAATGATTTATGCAATATGATTGTGTCTTTTTTTCAAATTTTTTTTTTTAATTTCTTATTAAATTTAGAATAATGCTGAACCAATTCGATACGGTAATATCCCAGCGCAAGCTGTTCATCAAGCATTGGGTATTGGTGGTTCACCATCAGCTAATTCAATTTTAAATGAAAATCAATCAACGATAGCTAATGATCAACAGATTCCCATTGTTCTTTAGTATATTGCCGGTTTTTTTTCCCTGTTTTCACTCAAATGATCACATTTTTCCGGATTTAGTTTTTTTTTTTTTCGAATATCTCATTTAATATATGTTGTTTGTATATTAAAAGATTTCAGATATAGAGAAGTAATGAAATTATTGAAGAAAATAGAAAAAAGGAATAATAAATTGAAAGATAACCGAGAGAAAATAAAATGAATTATGTTGGTGTCATGAAAGAGAAATGTAAATTTAAAAAACGAAATGAAAAAAAAAAAGGAAAGTCAGGATGATGTTCTCAGTATTACTGTAAACTTATTGTCATATGTAAATTTTACTGAATTTTTATGAAGAAAAAAAAATTGATTGTCATTAAAGTAAATCATTTTTTGATTTTTCTTCTTATTCATTACAATTATTAATTGTTTTTCATTTGCAATTATTTTTAATGAATAATATCAATTTTTGCACTGTTTGTTTTTTCCTATGCAAATGACAAATTCAAATGTATTGAACATCAAAAAAAAAAGAAGAAATGTTTGGATGGAAAAAAAAAAGAAAACGGCATGCGAAAAAATAAATTTGTTTTTATGCTTATTAGTACTATGCTTTTAATATTTTAAAAATATGCGCAATTCAAATGAATTTAAATTTTAATTCATTTCAAGCTAAATAGAAAAATAATAACGACCGAAGACGCTAAACTGCAGAATTCTTTCCCCGGAATTGGATGATTATTTTTTCTGCGAAAAGGAATATATTTTTTTTGCAAAATATTTTTTGCAAAATTAAAAAAAGAAGAGCAGGAAAATTTTCATTTCGGATGGCACAAAATTAGTTTTACTTTAATTACGAAAATTTTCATAGCACGAGAAATTTACGAAATTTTAAAGTTAGATTTTTTGGTTTTTTTTTTCGTTATTTTATTGTAAAATGTTGTTAATGTAAACAATTTTGAAACAACATTTCATGAGCATTTTCCCTTTTCATTTTCTTTTTTTTTTTTTGAAATTGGTTACATGCAGCAGAAAATACTGGTACTTATTTACATAATCGTATGCACTAAAGTGTTTCCAATAAATGTTTGTTGTATAAAATATTTAATTGTATTTAAGTATTTAATTTCATTTTAAAAATT